TAGAGATATACTATGTATCTAGACTCTCAGGAGCCCTGCTGGCACAGGGGACACACACTCAGCTGTAACCACAAGGTCAGGGGTTTGAACCCACCAGCTGCTCTGAGGGAGAAAGTGGAGGCCGTCTGCTCCTGGAAAGATTCACATCCTCGGAGACCCCATGGGGCAGCTCTGCTCTGTTCTCCTCTGTGGCTGTGTGTTGGAATCGACTCTGTGGAGGTAGATTTGCTTTGGTTTTGGTTTGGGAATATTTGTCTATTTCATAGAAGGGAGGTGATACAGCATTTGGCCTTTTGTGGTGGGTTTACTCCACACTGATGTTCTCAAGGTCTGTCCAGGCATGGATAGGCATCAGATCTTTTCTTTTTAACCGAGTGATATTTCGATGGATGGATGAGCCACGTTTTTATCCACCACCTGTGGATGGACACTTGGGGTGTTTCTCTTTCTGTCTGAGGGATGCTCCATTGTGTGGACAGACCACATCACGTGTACTCACCATCTGTGGATGAACACTTGGGCTGACCCATCTCTAAAATGATGCAAAACACTGCAATGGACACCTGTGGGGATTATTGTTGTTGCGTGCCGTCGAGTCACCTGCGACTCTTAGCTAGCCTATGTACAACAGCTCTGAAGCCTGCCCTGTCCTGAGCCAGTCTTGTGGACTCAGACACCCACCCACATTGTCCTAGTTATTGTATCAATCCATCTTTCCTGGGGTCTTCCTCTCCTGCACTGTGTCTGCACTCCTACAAGCTTGATGTCCTTCTCCAAAATCTGCTCTATTCTGGACACGTGTCCAAAGTATGTGAGACAGAGCTTCAGAATCCTAGCCTCCAGTGAGCAACTTGGTTTCACCCTCGGCCAGACAGACTTGTTTTTCTTGGTGATCCATCATATATTAAAGACTCTTCTCTAGCAGTGCAATTCCAAGGCATCGATTCTTCTGTCATCCTTTATCATTATCCAGCTTTGTGGTTCAGCGAGTACTTGTGAAGACCATGGCCTGGATCAGGTGCACCTTAGTCTCTAGGCTGAGACCATTGCTCTTCAGTACTCTGGAGAGGTCCATAACTGCAGACTTTCCCATTGCAGTTCATCTTTTGATTTCCTGACTGCTTGGGCCAAGACTGTTGACTGTGGAGCTGAGCAAGCCAAAATTGCTAACAAGCTCAATCTCTTCTCCATCTGTCATGGTTTGAGGATTTCTTGAAAAACGAGAATAATGAAACATGTAAACCACATTCTTTGCTCCTGGGAGTTGCACAAATGAACAGCAGCCCTTCAGAATGGCTCTTGGGGTGAGCAAGCCACCCTTGGGACTTTGGGGTGCCTGGTGGTGTTTTCTAGAATTGCCTTTGTCACATCTGGTGCCTTCTACACGTCAGCACACCGCTGTGGTCGGGAGCCCAGCTCCCATCTCACTAACGTCCTTCCCGGTTCCGCTTGTAAAGTCCTTCACTGCTCTGTCCCCTGAGAAGGTCTGCCGGCTTATTCTCACGGTACTTGGCTAATCTGTGTGGACGTTTTCACAGGATGGCCAGCGGGCATTCACGTCATGTCAGAATGACTTACTGAGAGGGCCCCGGATCCCCAGCGTCCGTGAGTCCTGAAAACATCATACCCAGTGAAAGACGTCAGCCTTCCAAGGACAAATGCTGGCTGACCTCGCAGAGGGGAAGGAACGCGAAATGCCAAGGGATCTGTAGTTACCCATCATGGCAGGAGCGAGCCTAGCTTGCACAGTGGTTAAAGCACTCACCTACTAACCACAAAGCCAGCAGTTCAAATCCACTCCAGAGAGAAAGCTGAGTCTGGGAGTCAGACACAACTGAATCCCAGCTGGTGACACTGTATCTCACGCCTGGTCCATTCTAGGAGAGACCTGCCTTCCCTCCACACTGTGTGTGTGCACAGTGACACACAGAGGCTGCTAGAGAGATACTATGTATCTAGACTCTCAGGAGAGGCTACTAGAGAGATACTATGTATCTAGACTCTCAGGAGAGGCTACTAGAGAGATACTAT